GGTTTTCGCGTGGGCGGTTTCCACCAATTATCCCAAGAAAAGTCCCCAACTGCAAAGCACAGTTTTGGTACTCGGAGCTTTCAGCAATCCCTCGAGACTGGGGAGGTTGTCACCAGTCCGGACAGGCGATCTAGACTGGTTTGTGCTTCAGCGCCATGCGGAGCTCGCCAAAGCACTCACCAAACATTTCCACTGGTGGCCCCAGGAGGAGAACCACAGCCTTCTGTGTTTGCAGCGGAGCTGCACGTGCGCAACGGTCCTCCCCCAAAAGAAAGTTCGGTCAGTGAAGCTGTATTCTGCACAACTTTCAGTCCAGTGACTAAGGGCGTCGCCACACCAAACGAAAAACGCACTAGTGCATCTTCTCCAAAAAGTGGCCAGATGCATCTGTTGCTATTCATAGGAACGGATGCATCTTGCCATTTTCTGGGAACATGCATTCGATTTTTGTTTCCACAGTGGTGTGGCGAGGCCCTAAGTCCAGATAGTTCTGTTTGGGGGGAAACGGGTGCGGTCTGGTGCAGACCGCACGTGCCAGCACGCCTGTGCAGGTGGCCGACGTGCGGTGCAGCGGAAAGCCAGCACCGCACCATAGCCCGAGGCATGTCCTCTTCCACAATGCCCGTGGCAGGCAGTAGCGCCAACTAGCGCATGTGACATGGGCATCGCAGCCTTTGTTGGTCCTCCCACTGGCCATCCCAAGAGTCTCATCTTCTCCGCCCACCATCTTTGTCCGTCTTCGCGTGCACGCCGCCATGGCAGACATTAAAAAAAAAAAAAAAAACACCCCCTCCCGTGCTACCAAGTAGTGCTGATAGAAGCAGACACCGCTAGCATCCGGGGAGCGTCACCTGCTGGAAAACGGGTCCAGTGTCCTTCGCACGTGATGTCTTGCCCCACCCTATCAATGTGCTCACACGTGAGAGAAAGAAAACAAACAAAAGATGGCGGCGTATCTTTTCATTATCGAGGTGATTAACCAGCCGCCAGTTCACAGATTGGTGAGTGGATAGAGGAAGGCAGAGGAGGGGGAGGAGATGGAGGAGGAGGGTTGCAATGAGGATGTGGAGAAGAGCAGCAGAAGATGCCAGGGGAGGCGGAGAAGGAGGAGAGGGCGGATGAAGATGATGGGAGATGAAGGTAAGATCACGAGGAGGCGGCATTGGAGAAGACTTCTCGAAGCCCCACATGCGGCCCTGCTCGTCAGGCGTGAAGTGGAGATGATGGCCCGCCTAGTGTACGCGCCGGCAGGAGGCTATGGCGCGCTTGATCTCTTCACACACACACACACACACACACACACAACACAACACACACACACAACACAACACACACACACACACACACACACACACACACACACACACACGNAGAGAGAGAGAGAGAGAGAGAGAGAGAGAGAGAGAGAGAGAGAGAGAGAGAGAGAGAGAGAGAGAGAGAGAGAGATGACATGCCTCATCTGTGCCTGCACTGTTGGTGACGTCGCGTCACATGTGCCCGTGCAATGGCGATGTTGCCCCGATACATCTCTCCGCCTCCGCACCCCCCCCTCCCAAGAGTTTTGCACATCCACAGGAACCGCGGGCACAAGGCTATATCTGGACTGGAATGGGCCCGTGTTCCATGCAAAGTGTCTTTTTGAGTTGGCATTTCTTCTCCCCGCTTGGCCCCCCTCACTCCACAGTTCTGCGCCCAGCCTCTCTCGCTCTCCCCCGGTCCAGTTCGACCCATGGATGTTAGGCCCTATGTCTCGGGAGGGTCTATACAGAAAATATCCCATAGCGACATTTCTGACACAATCAGTTTGGTGACGAGTCCTGGGTTTGGTGAGTTCTTTTTTCTTTTTTTTCTTTTTTTTTCCTTTCCCCCCTGGGAAAATAGGGAAAACTGGCTGTTTTCCCAAACTCCTGAATCTTCGGAAGTCGGGCCCGACGACGACTGCCATTGATAAATCTGATCGGCGGCCGTCATTTCGTTTCGGCCTCCAAAACGGTCGGAGGCCCACTATTTTCCAAGCGGCAAAGGTACGCCGGCCTTGAACTGACCAGCCCCAGGTAATTCAGAATGATTTTATGTTGGTCATCCGATTGTATCTGGATTTGAACTTGGGTCTGTAATTCAACAGTTGGTGGGTGTACGAACTGAGGTAGGCCCATCGGTCTCAGCCCTCGCCGCATTCGTGAGCACTCACCAAACAATTTTCAAGTTTGGTGAGTAGTGCTGTCTGTGGAGGGTCCATCGATGCAGAACTGACCCATCGTGAAATCTCTGACACAGTCAGTTTGGTGAGGTGGTGTGGCAATGCCAACCTCCCCAAAACACAGGGTTTGGTGAGTGGTGTGCGGAGGCCCTATGTCTGTGGACAGTCCATTGATGCAGAAGTTAACCCACAGCAAAATTTACCCTTTACCCATCTCCACCAAGCCCCACCGCAGCCTACCCATCTCCCACCCTCGTGCCCTCCTAAACCCAAGCGACACTCTGCCTCCTGCTCCTCGCCCCCTTTTTTAGTTCCCCCCTCCTACCTACCGAGCCCTGACACCACCCCTTCCACTATGACCCCCCCGCGAGAGATGGTTAATTGAAGGCCCGAAATTCGGAGGGTTTCACCACATCACCACAAGCAATGTCATCGTTCTAAATACTGGGCCAGACGATCCACTGCAACAATAACAAGTCAATAAAGTGAAAACAAAACAACTAAAAATCCACAAAAAAACGAATTTGAGCTTTCAATACTGAATTCATTATCTGTAAATTAACATACATGAATGGATGGAGAGCGTGCTTCCAACCTCCGATATTTTGTAATACGTCAGTTTTCAAGACTGATACCTTCAATCACTCAGACATCCATCCAAAGCAAAGACGCCCCTTGTACCTTTCTTTCCACTCCATCAAACACATCTAGACACATATCCTGTGATGAGGAATCAGATTAAACCACCAGTACTTGGCCCAGCTATCGATGCTGAGCCTGAAAACGGGCACCGCGCCGTTTTGCACTGAAACGACGCTGACCTGCCAGCGCAACAAGAAAAAATTGTTTTGGCTGGCGGCGCCAGCCTTTCAGGGCTGGTACCCTGAGCCTCTGGAAGTTGCGGGCCGTTAACGACAACGCCCCGCAGCCGATGTATGGGCCAAGTACTGGTGGTTTAAGGCCTCGTTGAAAGCAGAGTCGGCAGACATTATGACTGGTTTCAAGCAAGCGGAACCATGCCCAACTGGGTTGGGACAGCAAGCGGCAAGAGGAATCAATGCTGATAATACCACAATTCGTGGGGACCCGTCTGTATAAGATCGGGCAACGGCAGTGGGCACCCAAAGGGGACAAGCCGCCGTGGTAAACAGTACGACTCACAGGGCTACCTAAGGGCACAACATTGACTACAGAAGACAACCGGTGCGACAAGCCACTTCTACATGAACACAGAACTCAGTTCACTGTACTAGAATGATAGACGGATGGGAATGGGCCATTGGACCTGTTTAGGGGCTCGTAGATAGACGGGCCCGGGCCCTGGTTTCCCATAATGGAGCGCCGGGCCCATCTACAGGCTTGCATTTTGTCAGGTACACAAGCATTGTATCCTCATACAGGGACGCTGGACCCGTTTTCCAGCAGGTATAGCTTCCCACCAATAGGCGGATCCTTCAGCACTGGGACCCGCTCTCCCGACACTAAAGTTTCTAGCAAAAACGAAAGGACCTGGGGCCACACCCAACGTTTTTTTTTTTTTTTTTTTTTTTTTTAGGCAACTTTAGCAGTTTTTCGAAACAGGGCAATTTTTTCAAAAAAAAAACGGCTAAAAAGGTGACTCAGGAGCAGTTTCCCCAAAAACGAAACACAGCGAAATTGCAGGTGTGGCCAGGGGCAAGGTCCCACTTGCGCAAATTAGGAGATATCGGCCGTTGATCTTCGCTATCTACCGTCGGTATCTCTTAATTCGTCCAAGTGGGACCTAGCCCCAGGAATTGCTRGTTAGTAAAAGAAAAGGGAAAATGAAGAGGTAGCCCCCCGAAAGTTGCGGTGCGTTAATGGCCGCGACTTTTTTTTTTTTTTTAATTATATTCTTCTCTCAATTTCACCTCACACTACCTACTGTCCAGGCCTGCTCCAGATAAAATGGGAAATGAAAGAGCCATAGATGATGCCAGATCACTCAGAAGAGAGTCATTGAGTTGGGCCGCAGGCCCACACACCGCGGGAATATCAAGGGTGGGTGGGGCCGCTTCGCCAGAATAGGCGATAAAACGACCTGTCCTCTGAGCGCCTGGCTAACTTGCTTGATGTGACTTGCAGATTCGCATATGCAATGGGCGC